ACAAACGATTTACCTGTTATATTTTTGGCTGCCGGGCTCACCAAAAACGATACAAGGCCAGCGATATCCTCTGGGGATGTGATGCGACCAGTTGCCATCTTGCTGAAAATCTATAGGTGCCATCCTGTAAGTCCTGATTGTCGCACTATCTGCCCAAATACTTTCCTGTGCACGTTCTGGAGCCACACTCATGACAACTTTGTTCCCTGGTAGTTAAATAAGTAAATGAAATAAACTTGGGCAACAACGACGCACACATATCCGTGTTAACTGGCCCAGGTGCGTACGCATTTACGGTAATTCCGTGTTGGCCCCATTCTCTGGCTGCCGTTTGAGTCAAGCTACGCACGGCAAATTTGCTCGCAGAGTATGCCCCTTCGAGTGGAAATCCCGATTTACCCGCGGCGCTGCATGCGCCAACAATACGACCTCCACCCCGCGGGATCATTGCTCGCGCTGCTGCTCGGTAACTGTAGAGCACGCCTTTGACGTTGACTGCATATACATTGTCGAACATCTCATCGGTTGCTGCTTGATATATTTGATAAATCAGATCAGAGTTCGTATTAAAGGTGCTTACTGTCAAGTAACGGTGCCCCTCTATATATGCCCGCGTTTGCTACCATCTACAAACCCAACGATTCACGCACTAAATGAAAGTAGAAAATCGTAGGCATACCACATCGATCCCACCCAGCTCGCTAATCGCCGTTTGAACTAACGATTCCACCTGGGGCTCGCTGGATACGTCGCATACAATGGGAAGAACTTTTGGTATGATTCCATGGCTTGACATCACACTTCGTTGGCTCTCGATGCATTCATCAACGACCAACTGTAACTGGTTTTGGTTCGAAAGAACGTCTCCGAGAGCAAGCAGATACCCTTCCGATGCGAGCTCTTGAAGAGCAAAGGCATGGTGAGTTCCACGTCTCACTAATAGCTGTAGACGTACTGATTGCAATGGCTCGCCCAATGCCTAGCAGTCATGATCAGGTAAAATCGTGACTAGATGTTGTTCTGGTCGCATACCTTGAGCTGCACCCGTAATCACAGCTACGGGAGTGTGCGCCAACGACGCGCCTTCGGCTAGGGACATAACTACAGATGATGGTTGAGAATGTTGAGCCGGAGGTATAGTTGGTCGGGTTAAAACTCGCCCGCTGTTTCAAAAGCGCCGTTTCCTTCCGATGAGTGCTAACTTACACGATAATCTCACATCCTGAAATCTTCCGTCTCCTCCAGAAAAGGCCATCTGATTCATCGATCGAATGTATGCGCTGAGCAAATCCCATCGGTCCAGGATTGGCTGTTGTTACTAATGGCACAGAAACCATCAAATGGTCGCAAGCTTGTGCAGGAGTCTAAAGGCTGATTGGCTCCGTTTAGACTATGTTCCGAGGAGTTACAATTTGTGAGTCGCTACATTGAAATCCCATGTTTCTGGCCTATCTTATCACGAGCCCAGCGACACCTTCTGTGAACAGACCAGGCTAATTTCTTCGTAGGAAAAGTAGGAAGCGCAATCGATTGAGCTCTAATCCATAAGCAGCCCCCCGTTTATCGATATCGTTTGGCCTTTGTAGTTATCTTCAGCGAGGTTTTTGCGGCTCCAACTCCCAACTCACCAGTAATATTTTTAGCCGCGGGGCTCACTAGAAATGACACAAGCCCTGCGACCTCTTCTGGTGTGGTAATTCGACCCGTAGGTGCACCAGAGGCCAACTATATTGTAGTTATATTAGTTCCATCGTCAGCTCTCCAGTTAAATGACTTTCCCCTTGATAGGCATCGAGGTGACTAGCGAGCAGGTTCCCTGTACGAATGGGTGTAAAGCTAGCATTGGGTATAGTAACAAAAAGAAACGTACACATGTCCGTGTCAACTGGCCCGGGCGCATATGCATTGACTGTAATCCCATGCTTTCCCCATTCGCGAGCTGCCGTCTGAGTCAGACTGCGCACGGCGAACTTGCTCGCGGAATAAGCCCCAGCCTCCGGAGCACCGCTTTTGCCGGCCCTGCTGCATGCACCAATGATGCGCCCACCGCCACGGGGGATCATTGCTCGTGCTGCAGCTCGGTAGCAGTATAACACTCCTTTGACATTGACCGCATATATTTGGTCAAAGTCCTCGTCGGTAACTACAAGGTTGTTAATTCCCGTGACTAAAGGAACGTGCGGCGCTCACCGTCGAGCAGCGTTGCCCTCTTGAATATTCCTGCGTTGGCGACCATCTAATCGTTAAAGTGTGTTAGTGTATATCTATCGAGGGGTAGCTGACATACCACATCGATCCCGCCTAATTCACTGACTGCGGTATGCACTAATACTTCCACCTGAGATTCATTGGAAACATCGCATAGCACGGGGAGGACTTTAGGTATGAAACCAGGGGATATAGCGCTCTGTTGGATCTCGATGCATTCATTAACGGTGGATTGTAATTCGCCCTGTTTTGATGGGAGATCCGCGAGAGCCAACAGATACCCCTTGGCCGCCAGTCCTATCGTTCCATATTCTTGGGTTTGGGCCATTTATTATAGGCATCCGGCGTACCTTGAGCAATGGCTCGTCCAATACCTGAATCAAGGTAAGAACAAAAATGTTGGTAGCTTTGGATTTCAAAGTACCTTGGGCTGCACCTGTGACCACGGCCACCGGAGTATGTGATTGAGCTACCGAGGTCATCGAGATTGTCTGTGGGTGGGAAGATTGAGGGTTACCGTGGCTGTTGGCTCAAACACGTGCACGGACGTCATCCATTCTGAGAAGCCACAAATGGACCGTATATAACGACTGTATCACTAGGCTGCTATATGCGTGCGGGTAAAGTGGCGACAGAGGAGGAAGCATCACATCGAAAAGCACGAGGTTTCAGCTTGCGTAGGCAGGCGACATGGGGGAAGCAAATAAACGAGCACCGAGAGGATTATCTTGGCCGCTCTGATAGCTGATCAGCCGAAAATACGTCAAGACCTCTTAGCTCAGTGGTAGAGCGTGTGATTCCAGCTGCTTACGTAATCTTGGCTTCCACAAGGCCACCCGTTCGACTCGGGTAGGGGTCACTCCTTTTTGTCACACGAGATATCACGATTAGGTAGTTATACACAGTGAGCTGTCTCGGGAGTGATAAGATGTCGCCAATAGTTTTTTCCCACCAATAAATCGTGCCATGACAGAATTAGACAGTGTGAGGCTAAGTACCTCAGGAAATCAATCTCATAAAAAATCCTCACAGTAATCCACTAGAGAAAGGGCCCGTGACCGGGCTAAGCACCTTGCCCGCATCTGAGCTGAAGTTTGACAGGAAAGATTCCAAAT